GCATCGCATCCGCAACCTGCTGGTGCTCAGTGGCAATTACACTGCAAAACACCGATGACCATGGCCACTATCAACGTGTTCACAATCCAGATTTTCAATGGGAGCAAGTCATCGAGACAGACTATGCAAGGTGATAGACACAGCTGCTACACTGATATACATGTCATCGGAAGCGTCATCTCTTCCGTCTTCACGTGACCGGTTGCGGCGAGGAATCATTCATAGCCAACGAATCACCCGTCGTTTGCTTACACAGCTCTTTGTCGAATGGCTCACCACTGGAGTCTATTGCTCTTTAATAGTGCCAGCGTTGTGATGCAATCCCTACTCTACAAACCAGCAAAAAAGCAAGAGCAAAGACCACTTTCTCACCTGAAGAGACGTTGGAGTTATGAAACAAGTGATACTATACCTTAACTCATTCAAGAGGGAGGTGCATCAACGTTATGCTACATAATCGTCCAAGACCGTCTGATGACAACGCCATTGCACGTAACTTTGGTAAAATGATGGAGCAGGGGAAGTAAAGAGTGCACTACGTTATCTGTCCCGAATTCAACTGGAGGGTGTATTCTAAATCGGGATGCACATGATACCATCTGCTCTTCAGCTCAGAACCGGTTCTGCGATCCACCCGAGATGTTCTCCAAGACAAACACCCAACCGGAAAACTCCCGATCCAGTCACTCTCTTCTCACTAGCTCCTCAGAACCACATCCTAAATCCATCCTCTTTGAAAACCTAAATGCGGATACAATTCGCAATGCAGCCATGCACACCCCGGTTCAGCTGGTCCGTCCGGCTCTTGATTCGTTTGCTTGGAGGAGATTGTGTTGCTCTTTTGGCTCTGCGTCTCATGACTATGCTCTGCTTCAGCTGCAGTTGGTCGTCGTCTTTGCTCCTCATTGTAAACCAGAGAGCATCAGTGCTCTTGTATGCTTGCCGTCTCATTCCTCTTGACAAGTGTCCTGGAGTGAGACCAATCGGAGTAGGGAAGTACCGAACGCATAATTGCGAAGGCCTTCTACGAACCATCGGAAGGATATGAGGAAGCTGCAGGACCTCTGCAAGTATGTGCTGGTCATGATGGTGGTGTGAGGCTGCAGTTCATGCTATGGCGGGCACTATTCCAGGATGGCTGACACTGAAGGTTGCCTTGCTGGTTGATGCCGCTAATGCCTTCAACTCTTTGAATCCGTAGAGCTGCATTACATAATGTCAGTGTCTATGCCCACCATTGTCACCTGTCCTGATCAACACCTACAGAGCCCATGAGAATGATGTTTGCCGTAGCGGTGAATATCATCTACGGAAGGTCACCACTCAAGGCGATCCCCTGGCAATGGCCATGTATGCTCTCGTCTACAGTGCCACTGATCCACTTCTGAGACAACTCCCCAGACGTAAAGCAAGCATGGTACGCCGATGACGCAACAGGTGCAGGCTCTTGTGAGAAGCTGAGACATGGGTGGGATGAGATTGTGCGTCTTGGCCCTGCCTATGGCTACCATCCCAACAGCTCAAAACTACCTCATTGTAAAGAGGAACATGAAAGCAAAGCAAAAGAACTCTTTGCCGACACTGATGTTCACATCACCATCAATGGCAGCGCCATTTAGGGCCGCAATTGGTGCAAAGTCCTTCACTGAAGAGTATGTCTCCAGGAAAGTAGGTGAATGGGTTAATGAGATCAAGAGTCTGTCAACAATTGCCCTCACCCACCTCATGCGGCCTACGCTGCTTTCACGCATGGCCTCTCCAGTCACTGGACGTACATCTCAAGGACCATCCCTGAGATACAAGACTTGCTCCAGCCCCTTGAGACAGCTATTCACCAGCATTTCATCCCAGCACTCACTGGCCGAGAAGCTTGCTCTGCTTTGGAACGAGACCTCCTAGCACTTCCCACCAAACTGGGCGGAATGGACTGGCTAATCCCACGTCCAATTCTTCTCATGCTTTTCAAGCATCTCTACGCATTACAGCTCCACTGTGTAGCTCTGATTGCATCACAGGATCTCCACCAGACTGTAGAGAAAGCCGACCAACTAAACATAAAGAAACAAGTGAAGAAGACCAAACAGAGAGCTGCAACAAAAACGAGCAAGAGACACGACTGCACAGTTGACACCACAGCTCCAACGGTCAGTGGAATTGGCACAGGAAAGGGCTCTTCAGCTTGGCTCACTGTCTTACCAATGGCGGAGCATGGATTCCTCCTGCACAAGGGGAATTTCGTGATGCTGTATGTCTCAGATACGGGTGGAATCTGACCAACGTACCTCGCTCTTGCAATTGTGGCACACCCTTCTCAGTAGATCATGCCATGATCTTCATATGGGCGGCATACCAACAATCCGCCACAATGAGATTCGTGACATGACGGCCAACCTACTCACAGAAATCTTCCATAATGTTGCAACCGAGCCACTCCTACAACCACTTACCAACGAATCTTTCCCTCACCGCACAGCGAACACTGATGCCAACGCTCGCCTAGATATCCGTGCTCGTGGTTTTTGGAACACTGGCCAAGACGCATTTTTTGATGTTAGGGTTTTCCACCCCAACGCGTCAAGCAACCGTTCGATGACCACTGCAGCAGCATATCGCAAACACGAAACAGGAAAGAAGAGAGAATATGCCCAAAGAGTTCGAGAAGTTGAACATGGGGTTTTTACACCACTTGTCCTCTCAACTACTGGTGGTATGGCACGTGAAGCCACGACATTCTACAAAAGACTGGCTGATGAGTTGTCCCGGAAGCAGGACAAGCAATACTCTCTAGTCATGGGTTGGATTCGCTGCCGCCTATCTTTCGCTATACTCCGATCTGCTATCCTCTGCATTCGAGGAAGTAGATCCTCTCGCCACCGCCCAGTCAGTGAGCTCAACATTGAACTTGCCGCTGCAGAGGGACATGTTCCCTCTGATATGTAGTGTTTTTGTTTTGTTTGTTTTGTTGTTTTTTTTTTTTGTTTTTTTTTGCTTTTTTCTTCTTTCAAGAATGTGTTGTATAGTTTTATGCACTTTTTGTGTCTACTGTAAAAAAAAAAAAACAAAAAAACCAAAAAAAAACAAAAAAAAAAAACAAAAAACTCAGCGGGTTGACTGGGTTGCGTGGGCGAACATAGGTACGTCTCTAAGGCGCACGTGATGCAAGCGATGACGCGTGCACAACCTCCTCTCGATCCTATATAGCCTCTAGCCAGGGTGTCGGACATGGTCACGTGAATAGTAGGTACGTTGAGGAATGCACGCCCTTCGACGACTTTCTCGACCTGCTTAGTTTTTTGACAAAACAGAGGGAAAATTTCGCTTGAAACCACACAGAGAGTTGTAAAAAATATCAAAGTAAGGTGCCGTGCGTTTAGCTTGGCTCTAGGGCTCACGCTGTGATTGTGACGGAGTTCTTAGTATTCTTCACTATAACTTGCCGAGCGGTAGGGTATCGCTGAGGATAATAGGATTTTCAGTATATTTCGTAGATGTTAGATCGAGTCAGTCGCAAATCCTCTCCGAATCCCGCATGTTTTTACAACAGCACGCTCTCTTTACGGGAAAGAAATTGCTGTGTCAGCATAAATGTCATTTACAATGACGCAATCCCTGCGAATGTCCGACCTCCTGTGATTCCCCACTGGAGCTACCAAATGAAGATCCCGTCAGTGGTTCCGTTGCTCTTAGTCGTAATGGACTCCGCTGTTGCACAGTCGCCCAGTCCTCCTTCCCTTCCTTCGCCCAGTGAAACGGTACGACCTACGGTAGTGTTTTCAAGTGGTGCCGGGTTCGCGTCTGAACCTCGTATATATATAGGCTTCCCCATCCCTCATCTCATCTAAACAACAATACCTCGTCCACTGCCGGTACACTTAGTGGGGGAACAGTTGCTGCAGTAATATTGCTGGCAGTATTCATAGTGATTTTGACCGTTGCAATACTGATTCTGTCTATCTACAACTGCTTCCGTCGCAATCCACCACGCTCAACTGTACCAAACCCGAGGTTGATGGTATGCCACCTGACTCACACATGTCGCCCAATAGACTCTTCCAGGCTGGGTGCACTTCTAGACAGAACGCTGAGCTACAATTCGACAGCTCCAGGAACGCTAACCTAGATGTGATATGGGATCACATGTACATGGGGTCGTGATAAGTGGTTGCTCAGGCATGAGTGGATTATCTGGAGATTATTCCATGTCTTGTGCTCCTTCCCCTGAACCTTCCAGCTGCTACGGAGATTATGACACAGAGAACCTATTATGATGTGGCGGAGGAAAACCAAGGGAAATTGGCTCCCAATTCCCTCAACCCGCAACGTGTGGGGAGGAGTCACGATGGAGTATCGCACGAGAGTTTCAGACGCACACACAGACATGCTGCCATCTGCATGAGCAAGAGCACCCTTTTCATCTTCAAACGTTCTTTGACAAAACTGATCGGTTTTACAGATCAAGTGAACAGAGTGAATTGACAAAAATGAGGTACTGTCAATTCCATGCTGATCCAACTGAACCCAGGGGTTTAACTCACCAGAAAACTTACTAGTAGGCGAATGCATGGCATTTTTGGCGAGCGGAAGCGCGCTTACAATTGGGGTCTAATCGTATGAGTCACTCTTGTGTGTGCACAAAACAGTGAGATACGTTGCACCGGACCAAGTAGGCCGAAACGACCCGAGCGCAGTAGACAATTCGAGTCGAGTCAAAAACAGTCAGTTGACAGCGCGAATCAGGCATAATCCGGCAATCTGATTGGTCTTGCAAGAATTGGGAACAAGTGGCATTGTAGAAAAATCTCTCGCTGGACTGTGCAGCAATACTCGATAGCTTCGGAGGTGTTGCGTTTCCCCTGATTCCGCTCGATTCAGGCAGCATTATGAAAATGTTGAAATCCCTTTCGGATAAAAAGAAGCGCGTAATGCTGGAGCATGCGCAGTTGGACGACGTACGGGTACATATATATATATATGTATATATAGAAAAATCGCGCCGTTCGGACCACTAGGTTAGCTCGCTTCCGCTCGCCAATCACTCTGAAGAACAATGTGTACATAACCTGAACACCATCCACTGATGATGACAATGCTGGTGCTTCACTCTGGTGTAAAGTGGATGGAGTAACCACTGCTTCCTGTATGGATTACATTCCACAACATATAACTTTACTGACCACCTTATCTGATTGCACTGGTGAGGGCCGAAAGTTACAGATGAGCCAAATGACTTCAGTCTGGAGATTCCAGAGGGAGCCATTCCTGAGGGAGAGATGCACACTGTCGACGTGGGCGTGGCCCTCTTTGGCCCATTCCAGTTCCCAGAAGGTCTGAGACCTGTGTCACCTGTGTTCTGGGTCTGTGTTCGGGATAACCCAAACTTCAGGTTCTCCAAACCAGTCACAGTCACCATCCCTCACTTCCTTAATCTTGAGAATGATGACGAGATACAATCTCTTGGACTCACCTTCCTCAAAGCAGGGCACAACAAGAATGCTGAGGGACTTTACGAATTCCAGCCGACAGAAGGAGAGATAAACTTTCAACCCTTCCAGACATTTGGCATTCTTCAAAACAGTCACTTTTGCTCCCTGTGCATTACCTGTAGAGACAATCCAGAGGTTTTTTTCAAATATGCCTACTTTTTCATCACATTGTACAATCTGAGCACCTGCCTAACAAAAGTAGATGAATTGATTGCAGAGAAAAAGTTGGAACACTACAAAAAGACGCAGGTTAAGTGTAAGTTCAAGAAATTTTTAACGAAACCTGCACTGGAAATAGTCACAACTCAGCCAACACACGGAAACATTGGAGTTGAAGGGAAGACAAAGGTAAAAGTGCTAGAAACCATACTCTTTCATTGTTCATTCCCATTATTCATTATTGCAGATTTTCCGTAGCGAAGTTGACCACTTTACCAAGAAAAAGACTCCAGAAAAAGAACTGCAGGCCCAAGAACAAAGAGATTTGTACCCTCCAAGATTCCAGATCTTTCTTGTCTCCTCTCCAAATGATTTATCACTGAGTGGTTCCAGGATTCGGCTTAAAGGAGCAGATTGCGAACTTCAGTACGATATTTGCCTTGACTTACCCGATGACACTAGTAAGTTCCATGGTATAAATATTTCTCTAAAACCACGCTCATTCAAGGTTAAGTGTGAATAGGTAGAAAATAAGGCTGGAAACTAACCCTATTATTAACAGTATGGCAATATGACTTGTCCCCTCGCTTTTCCCTTCTATATACAAAATAAGCATGAACAGCACTTCAAACTGCCTGGTAGCTAGCCAGATTTTCCATAAAACATGCTCTTGAACGTCAACAACTAAATTATGTCATTTGGAGTCTATCCATACAATTCCTATTCATTGTGAATCTCAGTTCAATTTAGTACAATATCTGAATGTTGGCGTCTAAGTCCCAAATTTTTATTGTGTGTTTTTCTTCTCTCTGCAGACCATTCTCTGACTGCACCTCTGGCCATTGGCTCAACTGGTATCTCATTCACTCATACTGAAACACCAGGTATGGCTATGTAGCTTGCCTATAATATAGCTCCCTTTGCTGGAAGTTATAACGTTGCCTTATTGCCTCGTTACGAATTTGTGTAGCTATTTTGCACGTTGTTCCTACAATGCTTTTGTTTGCAGTCAGTACATTGAAACTAAAAGCACTGAAGTAAAAACCCATTAGTTAAAAATATTTGTGATGCATATGGAACTATAGCGTTCTCAAGTTCTCAGTCTCATAAGAGCTATAATATAGTGCAATCACTATGCCCCACTCAGTAAAGAGATGACATCCAGCTGCAGGTTCAATTTATTCGCTGCCTTGGTGTGGGCTATTGCAACTTATACCTTCTTATATACTGTAGCTGATCAGAGGGAAAAAATGTGTGTCGATGCTTTCCATGTCTTTTGTTAATTCTTGTAAAAATACAGGTGGACCTACTTTACCAGAGCTCCTGAGGCTTAAATTCCCAGAGAAAGTCGGTGGAGCAGCGTACGCCTTTGGTGTGTCTTCTTCTGAAGGACTTACAGGGCCATAGAGTGAGAAATATTGAGCTAAAGTATCGAGGAGACCCTGAAGCAGTTATTCGAGATATTCTACATCTGTGGTTGGAAGGACAGGGGAAATCGGTCACCTGGAGGAGCCTGGTGAATGTTCTGACCGACATCAACCTTAATGTTTTTGCTAGAGACGTGGAAAACCATGTTAGATTAGCTAATAGTTAACATCTGCACTAACATTATGGTATATAAACGTAGCTGTGTGTGTATCTTTTTCACAAGTGAATAATTGTTTCTCTGAAATGAAGGAGGTGTAGGGATGTCACTTCATGAAAAAGGAAAAGCACTAAAGTGCAAACCCTCGGCGAACTGCGCATGCGCGGTACCACTAATTGATGGGCTGGGCTTTTCTTTTCTTTACTCGTTGTATCCCGCTAGTATATAGCTCGCGGAGAGTCTGGCACGGGCTATATAGCTACAGTATATATGTAGTAGATTGCATGCGGGAGTTGATACATGCCCTTCGTTGTGACTTCTTGTGCTTTCAAGATATATACACAGAGCGAGCGGAAGCGGTCGAGGTAAGCCTGTGCTAATTACCATATTGGCTTGTTCACTTGGTTTTCACGCCATAACCTTAGAACGCAGTAGTTTTACGAAAATCGCCTTTTTTAAAATCAACCCAGTGTAGCACTGAACCCGATAATATCGCTATTTACCTGATTTTGTGCGCGCGGTGGCAGAAAACGTGGTAACAGACAGACGGACAGACGGACAGACGGACAGACAGACAGACACACTTACGAAACAACTACCGTAACCCTCGCTGCGCATGCGCGCCGAGGGTTCAAGAAGATGCCACCTAGATAAAAATCAGTCATAACCCAATCCCTATAACTTTGACATTCTTGGTGGTGAATGCAGCTTATTGAAGCATCTTGATATCATTAGAGCCAGGCTCTAGTGAGTTCTGAAATCTGATTGGTCAATCAGAGGAATACTACTTCACTTAGTATTCCGCTGACTGATCAGCGGACTTCTACATCCTGAGGCACATTCCACTGCTATCATGCGCAGAAACATGGCTCACAACACAGAAAATTCAAGAGGACGCTAATCAGCTCTGCATAGAAAGTGTAGCTAGCTCGAGACGCAGCACCCCTAACTGCAGGCAAGCTAACAGAGTGAAAGAGAGACGCTTGTTGGCCCTGCCGGCTAGCTGTCGCACTTTTTTCGCACAGCTGGTGTGCGCGTGTGCTAGAGCTGTAGCCAGAGGTCTCCGTAGTCATGCGCCGCTACCTGCTAGAAGACCGAGTACCTGGTTTTTCGTGAGAAAGAACCTAACATTTATAAAAATCGTTGAAGATATTAGACCAGGGAATGAAGCTGCATAGCTAGCCAAGGGTGTGCGGCCGTGCGCATGCGTCAAACTCCTAAAAACGGACTCCGGAATTATGCACTCAAGCGTCCTTTGCCACGCCTCCCGTGTCAATTATATTCAGTGGAGTCATGGAGGATTTATAAATGTCTTCATCGATTTATAAATGTCACGGTCGATTTATAAACGTCATGGCCTGGTCGATAAATTAATGTCGTCGTACATATCCTAAATTTTGCAGCAAATTTATATAAGTGGACATATTACCTATATATGCGTCTTTGGAGAATGAGTTTTGGAACAAACGGCGCGCCGTAAGTTTCCACTTCTTTTCACTCATTTTTTTCCCACCTCCACTAAAAATTTGGCATAGATCACATCTGTAGCAGTGGCAGAATTTTAGTATATGAACTATTTATTGCAACCACAACGCCAGCATCTTAAAATGAAGCAAATGTAGCGCCGAACCCGTTGCTGTAGAGTTTTGGCGATCTTGTTGCGTCTAGTGGCAGAAAACGTGAACGGACACACAGACACAAACCAAGTACAGTAGTCAGTAACCCTCGCTGCGCATGCGCGCCGAGGGTTGATACCAAGATAATAATGATGGGACACAAAATGGAATGAAACAAAACCACATTCAGCATAATTATGATTACTGCATTAATTCACTATTCACTGATATTGTGTATTTTTTTGATTTGTATATACTGACATAATACACACATAATGTCACATCTTCGTCTTCAGTGTAGAAATTCGACACTGTTAGTTTTTACAGCACCCTTATACCCACCCACTACAATTAGGTAGTCCTCAGGAAGTTTGATCGCAAGGCAAGTTGATCGCTTGTTCTTCATCTGACTAGCCACATTCCAAGTATTGGTATGCGAGTCATATCTATAGACATTTGAGGTGGGTTCGTGCCTCTCGAAATTACCGCCGATGGCTAAGAGGTCACCAGAGAATGAAACAAGTGTTGTTCGTGTCACTGGTAGGCTTTTCACTTCCGTCCAAAGGTTAGAACCTAGTACAAATGGTTGCCGCATTTTGGAAGGTGAGATGAGGTCAGAGAAGGAGCAAGATAACACATTATTTAGTATTCTGTACATTAGGGCACCTCTTTCATGAAGGTCACCAATCATACCCCCTGCTAGATAAAGAGTATCTTCGATTAGTGCTGCTGACAATGACATGCATTTCATAGGAAGAGGTGAGGCTGTGGTCCATTGCTTGCTGTCTATGTTCATCACCTCTACGTCATCGAGGGAACCGCCATCTCCGAGACCTCCTGCTACAACTAGGTGCTGTTTAGTAGTGACACAAACGGCACTGCTACGTGGTGTGGGCATGGGGGGAAAGACCTCAGACCAATGTTTCCTAACTTTACCCCTGAAACTGAGGAGGGTGTTTGTTGGATGTGGTTTCCTGCCGCCCACACTAGTGAGAAGACCATCAATGACTGCCATGCCAAAGTTCCTGTTTGGGTTCTCTGGCATCTGAGACCACCATTGTCCTTGTTGGTAAGAGTATACCTTATCTGACACTGCTGGTCTGAAGTACACAGTGTTCCCATGCACTACTGCTGCTCCTCTACACATTGCCTCTGGCGCATCTTTCATCTCCGTCCACTGCTTCTTGGCGATATTGGCTTCCGGTGTAAGTTGTATTGTGGCTGGCTGTTGGTATCCCCTGTCTCTTCTGGTCTTGGAACTGATCTCTGTGACGTCAGGCTCAGGATATGGGTGGTTGTCCGTGTGTATCTGCTGCGGCAGCTGTAACAACTCTAGCCTACTAGCTTGTAGCATTTCTTGTGTCTGCTGCAACTCTCTCTCTTTTCTCTGCAATTCCTCATCCCTTGTAGCTATTGCACACTGAAGCTGCCTATCCTTGTCCCTCAATGCTCTCTCTAGCTCCGGGACGCCTTGTGTCTGTTCCATGCTCTCCGAAAATAGCAAAGATGTTTTAAGCTCTGATAATGTGTCATTGAGCTGCAAAGCTGAGGGGCGCTGGGTTTCGCTTGTTTTCAGACATTGGAGGGCTAGCAGCTTCAGAGCATGGGAGTCTGCGATCAACCTGAGGTGGGCCTGGCGACGCTCTGTCTCAGGAACTAATTGTCGAAGTGGCTCCTTAAACTGAGGAACTGAAACTAATCTAAACCGATCGGTTGGATTGGGGAACTGCCTGGTCAAGATCTGGACGACTATAACACCAAAAGAGAAGATGTCGAGCTTATTTGTGTATACTTTAGCTTCATCTAAAGCTTCAGGTGACATATAGAGAAGATTACCTGGGCACAGGGTCAAGGCCGTCATGCGAGGATCAACCCTAAAAAGCTTAGACATCCCGAAATCCGTGATCTTTGCTCGAGGACCACGAATCATCAAGACGTTGTTCCCCGTTAGGTCTCTGTGGATGAGACCATTCTATGTCGTGGGAGATGTTCACCTGAGTGTGGTAGGACAGTGGTCCTGGGGATCGCTCCAGGAATGCTGTCAGACTTTCATCGCAGAGCTCCATGAGCAGAACAGGCAGTCGTGTGTCAGGGTCAGTGTGAGTACCCAGGTACTGGATTACATTGGGGTGCCTCGCTAGACTAAGTAGGTGGCATTCCTCCCGGAACTTACTAAGGTAGGAGGCAGTTCCGGGGTCACGCAGGTCAAAGAGAGTGGGGTGCATGATCTTGGCAGCACACAGCAGCCCATCACACTTGGCCTTACACACCCCTCCATATGATCCACTACCGAGACTCTCGGATTTGTAGAGCTCAATATTGCGGTAGCTAGACAAATTCAGTGTGTACCTCTGCCATGATAATTGAGACTCTGTGACAAAAAAAGAATTTTCACTCATTATATATAGCTATACTTAGCTATAAGATTCAGTCTCTGGAATAGGTAGATAGATATGCAGCTACTACGCACCTTCTTCAAAGAGTGAGTTAGTTGCTGTTGCTCTCCGTTCAGCTTTCAATGTAATAGCAGACAAGAACTGAGGCTACTGTACAATGTTGTTACACGCGACAGCATTTCCTGCGTGGGATCATGATCTGTAGCTAGCTATGTCGGCTCATGCGTATCGTGCACTAGGTTAGCGTTACAGTATTTAGCTAGCGCTAAAGATACTAGCAAGAGACCACGCATACTCAGCAATTAGCGGTACCGCGCATGCGCAGTTCGCCGAGGGTTTTGCACGTCAGTGAGGGTCTGAGTCATTCCTACTTTCCAGAGATATGGACACAACCCCTTAACAAAATTCATTCAGCTACCTTCCTTTAAGTGCAGGGCTGTGCTTGATAAACTGTACGCACATTTACCACCTCATCAATCTCTCTGATGTATTCTCTTGCTAAAAGAGTTAGAGTGTAAGCGAGCAAGCAACTCTGAGTATTATTACACCAAGAGCATTATCTTACCTAAACCTCACTGCACCTGTGCATCTATGGGCTAGCTGACGAACTGAGTTAATTGGCTCACCAAAGCAAAGCTTTAGCGAATCAATTATAGAGCAGTATAATTTTATTAGTGATGACCTTATCGCAGTAAGAGAGTGATTGTTGTATGGGCTACAGTCAATGAGTTAGAACACACCTAATGAGTCCATGACCCCAGATTGAAAACAAAGACTTGGCCAGCCACACTTTTTACCAATAGCTTTTTTATTGATCATTCTGAGTAATAATCATTGATTTGTCTAGCCCGTTAACGACTCAGAGGGAGAAAAACATACACAAACCGCTGTTGTTGATGCCAAAAGCAAATTACCACTTCCTTCTTACGCTGAGCATCAAGTATGCGACACTCTTGTTACTAGGCGAACAATAATTGTCAGCTATTCACGTTGGTTTTATGTGTAGCAAGTTGGACTTTGCGGTCCTATCGCTGTGTTGGTCGCGAGCCCTTTTCCCATGCCAGCACGCGTGTGAAGTGGTCTCAATCACTTCCGATGACTCACTGCTAGCGTGCCGAATGAACCCGACACTCTCCGGCCAACGCCAAATGTGGAAAATTGCTGTGTTTACCATCAGCGTAACGGACGCATGTCAAATTTCGTCACGAAATCTGCCGGCCGTGAGTCACGGCGTTGGAATGTCGCGAAGCACCCAATGGTTTTGTGTATTATAGCTGTTTTGGGAACTGCCTGTGTTTGCCGTCTAGCGGTTTGTAGCGCGCCCGTCCACAGCCCTCCGGCAGTGTTTACCACAATGCTTGCGCACCGCAGCTCTTATAAAGCGTCCATACGCAACCATTTGAAAGCACTTGGAAGAGCTTTTCCGTCTGAAACTTGAAACATGAGGCTCTGCGTATTTATCACAGTTGTTGCTGTCGTGCAACTTGCAATGGTGTCCGTGTCACAGTCGCGAAGCATCGGACGCAGCTGGAACAGATGGAAAAGAAGTAAGGAAGAGACGTCCGTTTTATGCGCATGCGCACGTATGAAGCTCGCCGTTGACTGCAACGGCAGGTTCTAGCTTAACTTGTGAGATGTAGCAGGAAATGCAACTGACAGTGAGTAGCAGCTAACTACAACAAATGAAGTTTTTTTGCGAGCGAAAACGGCCGTAGTTAGCTACATCACGAAATAGTGCAAGAAGACTAGGTCGGCTTGCTTCGCTCATTACTTACGGTTTTTTGAGGCAACAAACAGATCTACAATAATCATACATGCCTGATTTAGCCATTATTTTATTATGCTGTATTGTTTCTTCCTCCCGATCCTCTCCCAGCACTGGAACAGCCAACAACGCGTCCACCAACAGGTGACCAACAAGTGGAGGAAGTCTCCTGTGGCTATGCTTTTGAGAGTGTGTTAGGGAGTCGCGTGCTGGTCATAACCTGCTCCAGCTCCACCTCTGATGTGACCAGGATCTCCTATTTTGTCAATGGAATCCCCATCGGAATTCGAGGTACATAAAAAAAATACATACTAAGCCAAAAATTTCCTATGTGGGCTTTGTATAATTATACATTGTTTGATAGCTATTTTGCAGTCTGAATCATAATTATAGTATAGTCCGTTATTCGTGGTGGCCAGAGAGCTCTAATACTATAGGCCCATAAGGAATATTTTAGGAAACATTGTGTAAAGTAAGGTACGAAAACCAGTGACCGTATTCTCGCGTCCGTTAAATTTGTTGGGCATTTGAATAAAAGGCAATATTCTGGAGGGAATAGGTGTACATAAGTAGAATGTTACCGTATGCTAACCTTCATGATTGATGCAGTGGGAAATGAAGTGAGGTTGAGTAGCAGCCAACTTCGTCAAGGGGCCAATACCATAGATCTGACAGTCTACACTTCCAGTGGATCGTCATCAACCATCTCACTGCCAGTTGACACATCCACTTCATCACCCTGTAAGCTGCTCTTTGGCGTAAGTCTGTACAATTATAGTGCATGTAACTTTCGACGGAGAAAAAAACTAATGGAAAAATTGCAGATGTTCTTGAAAAATCTAGCTACAGTCTATCATTGTGCATAGTTACACAGCCATTGCCAACCACTGCAGCAACAACAAACACACCGCCAACTACCACGATGACCACCACTCAGCCAACTACCACGATGACCACCACTCAGCCAACTGCCACAATAGCCACCACTCAGCCAACGGTACCACCAACACAAGGTGAGAGGTGGACACACAGTGTTTTTTGTACAACATTCAAAGTAAGAGGCAAATACAATGAATGACCAATGGGTATTATCACACTTTCTGAATAAAGATAAACGAGAGCTCTGAGGGGCTAGTGTTATCTGCTGAGAAGAATAAAACCCTTAGTCAATCCTATAGAACATCTCTCTTTCTACATATCTCAAATCATGTGTTATTCCAGATACATTTCTCTCCTGCCCACTTTCTCTCTCCCTCTCCCTCTCCCAGCTCCACCAACCAATCGACAGTGTCGCTATGAGTGCAGGGGGATTCTGAGCTCTAATGAACTGACTATCACCTGTGATGTTGACAGAAGAACTGACGAAATTGCCTCAATCCAATATGATGTCAATGGAGGAAGCTTGCAGAATGGTATTAATAATGTCATTACCTTGTTTTACTGGAGTAAGAAAGCTAATGCTTGAAAAATGGCTATTAGCCAGCTACTTCATGTTTTAAGGTAATGTGGTTAACAAACGATCGTCATATTTTTTCAAATTTCTAGCTGACTCGGTCTCAAGCTTCAGTATTCCCACGAGGCAGTTCAGAGATGGCGTCAATAGAGTTAACGTGAGAGTGACTCACTCGGTGTGTGGAGCAGGAGTTATGCAGCTCGAGTTTCAATACCAAAGACCTACTTCAGTTCAACGTAATGCAATCACCATTTAACGTTTGAGTTGGAATTTTGCACTGTTTTGTTGTGTAGGGTGTTTGTATGAATGTGGTGGAACGCTCAGTGAAACAGACTTCACAGTCACATGCACTGTGAATGGTCGTGAAGATAGTCGCTCTACAATTGCTTACCGAGTGAATGGAGGAGCTTCAGTTAGTGGTAAGTAGACTTGAGTGTAGAAGCTGCTCATAATTATAGTACTGTGTTTCTTTGCCTTTCTCTGTCTGTCTGTCTGTCTTTCTCCCTCCCTCTATATTATCAGCAAACTCTGCACCAACATTCATCATTCCACGCGATGATTTACAGCTGGGAGACAACAGGGTTGACATAACGATGAGTCACGCAGACTGCTCCCAGCCTGGATCTCTCGGACTTGAGTTTACCATCCAGCAGAGACCACAGCAGCAGCCGCCACCACCTGACGTCTCTTGCAGTATTGGTCAGCAGAATAGCAACGTAGTGCTCACCTGCTCCAGCACTGCGTCCCTGACTATAACCACTATAGTCTACTATGTCAATGGAGTGCTGGCTGGATCCTCTGGTGAGCTCAACTAGACAGTGTGGGGGTACTGCAGTACTGTGACAATGTTTAAGGACAGTCAGGGATTAATCTCTCTGAGAAAACAAGCACAATTTTTTGGATCCCCCAATAGCGTGTAGTTAGAAATCGTGAGAAAACATTCTTTGCTCACCAATAAAACTATGCATGTTACTTTGTGTAGCTGGTGGAGTGGCCCAGATTGCTGAAACTTTCTTCAGAGATGGCATAAATGACGTGCGACTGGTTGTAACAAAAGCAGATGGAACAACCCAGGAAATCACTATGACACTCAACATAGAGAGGGAGCTACCCAGTGGTCCATCAAACCCAGGTAGAGATACCTATCTGTCGAAGGCTGGCAATTTTGAATATCTGCTAACTTTTAGGGTTATGTGTATGCATTTGATAATTAACATGTCCCATTTTAAAGATACACCATAATATTATATTTGGCAGCTCTGTGATTTACAATTCTTGCTCACTTATCAAAAGAATGTGTTTCCTTTATTTATCAGTTGAATAACAACTTTGCTGTACATTGTTCCTACAGGGTGCTTTTACAATTGCAGTGGAACTCTGAGAGAGGAACTTACCATCACATGTAATGTGAATGGTCGGGAAGATACCCAGTCTTCAATCAGCTACCAGGTCAATGGAGGAGCTTCGGTTAATGGTAGGTGTGATTACTATGATTTTATAAAGGCCAGGGCTAGGGGCTTAACTTTCGTGTACCTATGTACTTCATAATAATTACTATAGTTTCTCTCCCGTTTTCATCTTCTCTTTCTAGCAAATTCCGCTCCAACATTCAGCATTCTGACAAGTCAATTCAGAAATGGAGACAATGTAGTTGATATATCAATCACCCACTCTGACTGCTCAGTCCCTGGTAGTATCAGACTTGAGTTCCCTTACCGGGAGCCTCCTACTCTTCCTCCTACGTCACCTCCTTCCACTACAACCCCTTCTCCTCCTCCCTCTGCTTCTACTCCAACACTGCCACCTTCACCGCCACCGGTTTTTTGTAGCTTAAACCGACAGGAGGGTAACGTAGTCTTCAACTGCTCCAGCCACTCGTCTTCCTCTTTCATCACTATGATTTCTGCTTTTGTCAATGGTGTACCAGTTACCTCTACGAGTGAGTTATCAGTTCTTTGGGCTGTCTTACAATATAGGCAATGTGTGTCTTATAGGTATAATGTTCCACTAGGCCTACAAATCTGTCAGTTGTTGTCCCGACATAGTAGCATTCTGGTTGATAATGCATGATGCGCCCCTCAATCAATTCATTGACAGTTGGACGTGTGCTGAGGATCAGTGAGCTGCAGCTGAGGGAAGGAATAAATGAGGTCATGTTGACCGTCGTGAGATCAGATGGGACATCGCAAGTTATCAACTACAGTGTCAACATCGAAAGAGAAGCAGTTACACTACCACCTGTAGGTATGTTACACACTGTGATTCCATACAATGTGTAAAATCAAAAAGCTGCAGCAATCGTTTTCGACATTACTTGCATTATGTGTGGGTGATTTATGGTCCTTCATAGCTGCATTTTTGCCATGGATGAGGGTTCATATTTCTGTTTCTCCACAGTTTGTGAGGTGAACTGTTCTTATCAGTTGGTCGGAAATGAGTTTGTTTTCACCTGTGCGGTATCTGGTGACTCTGCAAATCTACTGTCAATCAGCTATTCTTTGAATGAGCAGACCCCACTTGGTAAGCAAAATATTGCTCCGTAACTTGGGATAAAGACGCACGTTACCATACTCTTAATCTCTCTGCAGTGAGTACTAGCAGTTCATTCAGCATCCCACAAACCCAGTTCCTGACTGGAGATAACACACTGACCCTGACAATCCTGATCACCTGCAATGGGAACCTCAGAACGTTTCAGAGAGATCTTCGAGTATCAATTCGACCTCCTCCGCCACCCGTTACTCTCCCGCCGAGTCTCGAAGCATTTAGTGCCCGACTCTCAGGGATTTCCCCATCTAATTACGCCACTCTGGTGCCCAGTTTTCCTCTCTCGGCAACGTTCACGGTGGACGAGGCAGGAGAATATCTGGTGATCAGGGTGACCGGGACAGGGACGCAGAGGGTGTTAGTGTTACTCTACTCACTCAACGGAGGACGAGATTCTTACGAAAGTAAACCTCAGCAAATAAAATACACACCGTCACTGTGACTATATAGGTTTTTAAGTCTCATCATCTAGTGTTTTGGTTTTTGTGGTATATAGACTTTACGAAAGTAATAAGTACATTATTGTGACCTATTTTTAAAATCTAAGCAAGTGTTTTGCTTTTTTTGTGGAAGAATAGCTTGTGATTTTTATTCCTTCTCACACTTATTGGCCGATGTTAATGCAATATGCGCCACTTTCTATAGTTGGGGACACAGTAAGGATCCACAGGGACCAGTTGAGGGAAGGAGAAAACACGGTGACACTGACAGCCGTCAGTAGTCTCCGAGAGACTGTGCTCATCAACAGCACTCTGGAAGTGACCAAAGTCGAGAGCTACTCCGCCAGCCCCTCACCCCTTCCTGGTCAATAGCTGCAGTACAGGATTTAATAGCTAAAACTGCTGAGGAATACCCTTTAATGTTCTGTAATATATAGTAGCCTCACCCCCTTGTTGTGAGTGCTCCTTTTGTTGAATGCCACTTTTAACACCTCCTTACTTTACAAATATAACTTGAAGGTGAGAGTCGGGACAGATAACTATGCTCTCTACATGAATAGTAACGTGTGCTCTTTACAGTGCTTTCTCTTCCTCCTGTAGTGTGTGATGTGCACTGCAATGTTACATATGAAGGCAATGCCATTCGTGTAGTCTGCCATGAGAGCTCTGATATCGCAAGTATCACCTATGAGATCAATGGAGATGGAAACTACACAGGTTCGCACATAAATCCGCCATCTTTGTTGTTGCTAATGTTATCGTGTTGCAGTTCGTGGTTCAGAGTGTGTCATTGATGGGGGTCTACTGACAACGGAAGTGAATGATGTTGACATTTCAGTCAACTGCCACTCTGGAGGGGTTTCTATCAGTCGTCACCAGCTGGGTATGATACAACACTACCTTACACACTACACGATTTGTTGGCAAGTGACAAACACACCCACCTAGTCCTTTGTTGATGGTGACTCTGTTACCAACAATGTGCATGCACAGTTACTGCACATCAAGTACAGTACCATTATCTACACAAATCTTGTATTATAGTTTCGTTCGTTGTATATAGTATATCTACGTTGGTTGCATTTTTTCAGTTCAACCGCTCACTCTGAGGTGTCAGTCGGTCTCAGAAGAAGTGGATGGTGTGAGGATCAGTTGCAATAGTAACAGAGAGTCTTCAGTGCTGATTAAACAATGCTACATTGACGGAACTCTTCTGCAAAACTGTGAGTAGACTCAAACCGAAATCGGTTTTTACCACAACATGATGTGAAAGTTTAGAACGTACAGGAAATCTCTGGCATGAAGCTGTTAGCATGCCATTTAGTCAGGTTATCCCAGCCTTTTAGCTTTTTGTGAAGATAATGCTTATATACCTGTATTCCAGCTGGTGCTCACACTCACGCAAGCTAAAAATTGCCCCCCTGTACCTTCTTATTTCTCTACACAGTTACATAGAGTAATCGGGACACACTATGCACAGATGTAGCAGGTTCAGCTAGTATGTTCTTTACAGAGCCCTGTTTATGCACAGGTGACATGAGTAATCTCTTGAACTACTCAATGCTCAGTGGAAGCCAGCGTACATTCAAGATGGAAGTGACTGATGACAATGGCCTCACTGCTACTAGTCAGATATCATTTCTATGTGAGTCCACTATATACACTTTGCACACACTTAAAACCTAAAATGTAGGTATAGAATACCAGGGGCTGCCAATAAACTGTGTTACTTATAAGATAGATTTTCAGAAAACCTCCCAATTTGAATCTGAATGTAAGTAAGGTCTCCTTATTTCAGGATGTGCATTTAAGATTTGGTCACACCTATTTTAGTCGTCGGCATTCTGTTGGCAGCACTGTTTATCTGCTGTGTTCTTGTCTACAGTCAAGTTTCAAATCTGCTGCCAGGGAACATACAACTCCATCGATGATGTCATACATGTGTCATGTGACTCCAACAGACCCATAATTACATCTCAGTACCGAATCAACAACGGACCTCTCACACAACGTAAGTCTTAAGCTAGATAAACTTTGACTTTTTCTCATTCATTCAAAGCTATACATTATTATTGCTTATTATTATCTGTGTCACTTTTGTTTAATTATCACACAGGGAGTCTACCATTTGATGCTGCTATTAGTGACTGTGATCGTGCAGGAGCCAACATTCAGCTCCGTGTTGAAGCTCAAGACAGATACGGCAATGAAGATTCTAGTGACCTTACCTTCTCCTGCTGACTCCCAATACCTTTGAACTGCCATTTTATTAACTATTCTTCTTGCTAAAGCTACTATTGGCTGCATTTTAGCTGTATAATTATATACACCCTTCAAAAAAAGATAGATATAGATATTGAGATATTGATTTTATTATGAAACTGAGTTGTTTCAGTCACTAATATTACAGTTGCACACATGACTAACTATTGCCTACTTTGTTTTCTATTATAATTATACACAAATACAAGATACATTATGTGCTGCAATGTTTGAAGTTTCATGAAGTCTTTTTATGTCAGTATTCTAGGTTTTCAGCTTTACTTCTTGTCCACCTCTGTATAAAATGTAAGCATAACAATCGAAGAGGAGCTATTTTTAAAACATGTACAGAGGCTCAATAGCAACAACATAATAATTCAGAGTTCGTACAGTATGTTTTCTACCATTTACGCAACATAGGTACCTAGGCACCTATGATCAATAAAGATTCCAGATGCTTTTGCTATGTAACTACCAACCCCTGGTTTTTTTTACATGGGCCATCTCAACAAACTGTCAGTATAATCTTCACTCCCGTAAAATATAGCTATTAATGACTCACAGCCAACAAAGGTGGCGGTGGGAGGAGGAGGAGAGAAGGTGAGCTCCTGAGAGTCAATGTTTCCAAACTCATCCTCTGCCTCCACCCTCAGGTGATAGAGCCCGTTGACAAAGTCCTGGACTGGAACATCGTACGGTGTGGGACCTGTGTGCATACAAAATAGCATTGTGTGATAATTCTATATCTAAAAATGTGGCAAAATGGTTAAGTTGCTGAGCTGCCCTGGTAGGTCAATGGTAGAGCACTCTGTCTAAAGACACCATATGTGCGTTCCCCAATATCAATATCTCAATATCTACACAGAGGGTTTTTGGGTTACGTCCCACCAAGGGCAGCTTTTTCTTTCTTTCCTCTTTCCTTTGAAACAAAGTGTTCCCTTGTTTAAAATGCACTTGCCTGGTGGCCTAAGCATAAGATTATGGAAGCAGGATTCATCCAACAGAAGTTCAAATTAAAACAACACACGTACTGTATGACCACAGCAAGGCACTAACACTGAATGGTCTCTCGTCCATCGAGGTTCGCAGGCGACGCTTGCAAGAGGTCTTGTGGAGTCACATGCCAGATGCACCACGTCCTGCGATGGATTGTAGGCTCCACGACAGGCAATGTCCAGGTCCTCTGCCCAGTCAAAATAAGACGGGTAAACTCTAACTTTTATGGGGTAGCTAGTACCTTCAAAGTGGACATCACACTTGTCGACCAGCCCGTCGAGATCCTCAGCAATGATGGTGAAGGTGTGCAGACCTTGGCTTACATCTCTGAACAGTACCATGTTGGACGGTCCACCTGTGAGCAACACAGTGTCGATATAATTATACTTACGAAAAATCCTGCTTGATGGATGCATTATACGTACTTCCAGTTTAATGTGGCTGCCAATACATTATACAAGTAACTATCAGCATGACCATCAAGAGCATCAGTTAATTGTAGAGCCAGTGCAGTAGTGAATCATCTGTGGTATCCGAACGACTGATTTTACGTGCGTACTACCATACGTATGATTGACTGCACTGCTATACCATTAATAAGTGACAGAACTCACTGATATTAATGCTTAGGTGCGTACTACCATATGTATGATTGACTGCACTGCTGTTCCATACACAAGTCAGAACTCACATGTTTGCTGTGGAACCCCATCGAGAAGGCAGTGAAGATTGACTTCCTTGTTGGCTCCGGCTTGGACAACAACACTTACGTTGTTAGTCTGTGTGAAGCATTCGAAATCCAGGGGCTCAACTGAAATTAGGAGAAATCGAGACAGACATTATGGCATTTAGTCAACCTACATGTAAAGTCTAGATTACTTCCACTAATACTGCTAGCCGCTTCGGAAAATACTATGTACTTCACAGGTTTACTTTTAGTATACCCCCCATGCGTACTCATGCTTCATTTCTTATTATATAATATTATATTACTGAATCTGCTACTCAGCATTGTTGTATGCCCTCACTTGCACTACTGCTGATAGCTGTGAGTGTCTCCACGCGGAACATGTGAGTGAAGTTCTTGGAGCGGCCGTCCTGAGAGTTGAGGATGAGCTCTAGAGAGTATTCTCCATCTGGATACTTGGCAGTACCAATCTCTGAGTTGAGTTCACCTGATACAGGCAGTGGTCAGTGTGTGTGTGTGTGTGTGTGTGTGTGTGTGTATAGGTGAGTAGGGGCAGAGTGGAGTAAGGGTAGAAGCAGAAAGAGGGTGGAAGGCAAGATGTAGTTTTTAACAGCAGATGTCACAAGGTGAAAGCAAATGCATCATCTACAAAGTGCAGCGGAATCGGTATGGGCTCAAGTCCACAACACTTGACAACTCAGGTTTTGAATAGGAACTCTAATGATAGGGGTTCACTCACAGAGGCAGTCTTCCAGAGGTACTCCATTGACGAGGCAGATGAGAGAGACTCCGGGGAAGTTTGCAGTGCAGCTCCAATCAACGATGTCGTCAAACTCATCAGTGTCTATCTCACAGGATCCAACCATTTCAGCTGAGGTAGAACAAGAGTGTACAGCAGACAAGAAGCTAAAAGAGCAGGGTCATAGTTGGGGTCATAGTTGCAAATGTTTCAAGGTAAAAAGCTGAAAAAACTTCACAAGATCTGATGTGAAATCCTTAAGTAATGAGTGTGACCCTTTTGATCTAGGTAAAACCTGCAAACACATTGTCATAAAATATGAAAGTAGCAGAATTAATTCCGAGTACAATCCTTGTGAAATAGTTGATTTTAACTTACGGATTTCAACATCGAAGGTGACTGCAGATCTCTGGCCACACTCATTCACCACTGTCATAGTGAGGGAGTGGTTACCGGGAGGGAGGGAGCTGACGTCGAAATCCAGTGAGCAGGGGACAGACTCCCCTCTGAGGAGACAGTCTGTGTAGTCCAGTCTCTGGTCTGAGTCACAGCTCACGGAGTAGGTGCTGGAGCCCAGTTTCAAGATCCCTCGACACATCAGAGAAAGTGTGTCTGGGACAGATTAATGAATATAAATACGATCTGTCTGTTCTTCATCGTTATGTATAGCTACACCCCCTTGAAAGTAATAGAGTAGGCAGGAGAAGATAGATTCTTAATTGAAAGTCTTTAACTATTTCCTACACCCAAATTTTGAACTAAAGTTGGGAGGTGGGATTTGCCAACTTCATACACATATGCAGCCACTGTAAAAAAACAGACTATGGCAAATTTGCCTAGTGTCAGATTATAGCTTAGCAGATTTCAGTGTCAGAGCAAAATCTTATACTGTTGTGAGAAGACTTACTCTCAGTGGAGAAAGAGAGCTGGTTGCTGGCTGAAAATCCATATATGTCGCTAGCAACGACAGTGTAGCTGTGGTGACCATCATCAAGATCAGAGAACTGCAGCAGAGTTACTCGATCACCTGCAGGAGAGAGCGGGAGAGAAAGAGAGAGACTGCTAATGATTTTGTAGAACCTCTAGCAATTGGAACGGTAAGTTGTCACGATGATTTTCAACGTGCACACAGATATGCCTCAATAATTGGGATCATGATCTCAACCAGTGGGAGTATTAGGCTTCAGGTCCACACAATTTTCCAACAGCTGACTTTTTCGGGAGAGCTTGCTAGGTAAACTTTGGTAAAATATTTTCAAAGTTAACTAAAATCAGGATGTAGGGGAAAACTCACATGATTCCTGGAGTACATTGTCAAGGTAACATTGGAGCAGAGTGTTGTCGTGGCGGCGATTGATGGAGCAGGAGAACTCTATGCCACAGTCCACACTCTGTGAGGAGCACATCATCCTCAGTGGAGGTGCTGCAGAGAGAGAGAGACCTTGGTTGACTGCCATTCTATATAACGCCATCCACGGAAACCTTTATTGCAGTTTGTTAAGTTCTACAAACTAGACTTTATGTAGCTACAGCCTCATTCCCTTTAAGACCATGTCTACGTCGCACCTAACCAATATGGCTCGCTCACCAATCTCCACGCTAGTGTCAGCAGTGAGTCCTCCGGCTGAGGTGAGAGAGAGGTCGATGGTGTTGACCTCCTCTGTCAGCTCTCTGGAGTCCAGAGTGAACTCTGAGACTGATGGAGCTGTGTGGACCGGCAACACAAACAGGAGTCAGAGTGACACAATTATATTATGAGTTTCAAACATACGAGCAAGGGTTGAACGAAGTATGTTTAAGACCAAGCACTAAGAAAAAGTACACACAGTTTAGTTTGTCTTTGTTCCTGAAGGCCATGATACTAACTTTTTGTGTGAGAAAAAGTTGATTATACAACTTCAAATGACAAACCAAGCAACAAATTTTCATTGTGTAGCATTTGCCTTAACCAAAACAGTGTGATGACTATTTAGCACTGAGCAGCACTCCAGTTTGGTATTTACCTCTTATTGGACTCCCACCATTCATGGAGTAGGATATTGCTGTAATTGGAGGGTCAGACTCGTCCAACTTTGCACATCTCACCTCCACGAGATTGTTGGCAGCATGCTGGGCACCACATGTCACATGGAAATCTGTGACAATTTAAAACCAATGCATTCACAGACAGTCTCTTTATGACTACTGAGAGTGTGTTCTGTTATATTTTTATGTATAATGTGAGCCTTGTCCATGTTGAAGCCCTTATAAGCCCACCCCCTCTCTTCATAATTATTCATAACTGAAAGCTGTCTAGTTCAGATTCATGTAGGAAAATGATTGCCAAGTCCCACAGAAGTCTTCAGCTACTAGCTATGTATATAGGAAGAGATAGAACTGCTCACCAATGGGAGAGTGGGAGACTGTGGCAGTGTTTCTGAGTACAGAGTATTCCACGTCAGCTGTCCCTCCACTGAGACCAGTGGCCTGGACCACCACAGTGTTCTCTCCATCCTCCAGAACATTGTCAGTCAGAGTGAAGCTTGACCCAGTCAGTGCTGTGTGCAAAAGAAAACGACGATGCATCACACGATACTGATGCCTAAGATGTAAAGGTTGGCAGGATTTTTTAACTCTTGAGTAGGTATTTCAGCTATGGTAAAGAAAGCCTTTGTAAGGGATACGTGGATCTTGAAAGTACTGCACAGCAGAGTAGTCGATGACAGTGGTAAGTTAAGGTGTCTGAGAGATTATAGGCAGACAGAACTAGCTAGCTAGACCTCATGCACATGATAATAAGTACTGGTAAACTCACATGTTAGTTGGGGTCCATTGTTGACTGAGTATGTGTACCTTTGGACCACAGGTGGACATGAGAAAGATACAGAGTCAGAGCTGGCCTCAGGTGGGCAGAACAGAACCTCTGGAGACCCTGCACAAGTATACTGACATAAACGTTTTCAGCAAAATAGCAGTATAAGGTTTTCTACTCTACTGTATATGTACAGATAATAAAGTGAGTATAATGCGTATGTGAGTGAGTGATTGTGTGGACAATGTTGGAATGGTTTGTCATATCTTTATTTCAGGGAGTGTACAAATACTCAAGAAGGAATGACTGAGACAGAGACCTAGGGAAAGTGATAGCACAACAGCTAATAGGAGAGTATAGCTTTCTGCCTTCATTATAGGATGGAGCTTCTAGGAGGCTGTCAATTACCATAGGGGTAGCTGCTGTACACGAGCCACTTCCTAACACAGACAATCACGATGTAGTCATTATATATGAGAATTATCTTGAAGTCGGTCCACCAGTGAAAGTCGAGGGAGGGGAGTCGATTGGATGGAGCAAGGAAACTGAACAACAGTGACGTTCCTGTGTAGTCATGAAGAGAAGAGACACTGATATCTGCTGTGTTATTTTAACACTTTCCTGTCATTATAAGTGGTTGATAAACCAACCAGACATGGTAAGCTAGCAAAACCAATGTAAATATTGAGAATCAAAGGGCTATAATTAAGGGAGACTACCAGCAATATTGTAAATTATGAATAGGACTCCATTGACAGTGACAAGCGCAAGCAATAAATTGAAGCTTATAAGTAATTAACTTTTGAGGTGTTTGTGAATTAACACCATACTGTCTGTAAAAAGTTGTTAATTTTGTTTCCTACCGGGGTTGCAGGGGTAGGGTCTTCCATTGAGAGAACATTCAGTAGTGGTAGGCAGTAGATTACTGGTACACGAGATATTGTAAGAGTTTCCCTCCAGGCCATAGTATCCAACACACAGAACCTCTGCAGTGAACCAACAATCTTGAAATAGCGTATGAAAGAGCTAACACTATACATGGAATGTGGAGTGAGGGTAACTATGTACAGGGATTGACCCACAATGGTGAAGTCATTGCATGGTGACTAGTGGAAGAGGCATGGGAAACAAGGTTTCAGTATCCCAATATTATCGAATAGAAAAAAGTTAGCACCAGCAACTATGTAGCTAGTTGTGTAACCGTCGTTTCTACTTGTCACTGAAGTGCCTGACCTGGTATTCGTCGCTGGATTGTGATGGTGCTTGACGAGTGGTCTCCCCATCCTCTCCAGTCACAGTCAGTACCACCATATTCTCTCCCACCTCCAGCTCATCGCCTGGTACCATCACTCCTGCTACTGAGGATGCTGGAGACACGGTAAGGGAGGAAAAGTTGCCGAGGAAAAAGGAGTTGGGTAAAGGGAGGTATAAGGGGCAGAAATAAAGGTGTCCGCATGTGCCACAGCGTTGGTATAGTCAGCCTCTAAACTTAGAAGACTTGGTAAAATGAAGGCAGTAACGAGTGTTTTTACAAAGACATCATTGGTGGTTGTGAATAATTTACGTGATTGCTTGTTGTTAGCAAAGAGAGAGAGAGAGAGGATGGAGAAGCGGATGAAAAAGTCTAAATGCAGTGCGTGATAGGACACTGACCATTACAGGTAGTGTGTAGCTTACAGGTTTGAGGTTCTCCTCCATTGACGGTGTAGCTGATGCTAGAGATGGACTGGCTGTTCCCGTTAGTTGAGCAAGAGATTAGGAGATCCTCTCCCATCACCTCACTCGCCTCCCGGTACTGACAACCAACCTGGACTAGATAGAAATGATGAAAGAGAGAGCAAGAGATCAGAGGGACCTATGTCTTGCGAATGTTCCATCATTTCACATCTTCACGTAGATACCATATCATTCACAACTGCAGCCAGGCCTGCTAATACTACAAACTCTAATTGTCTGAAATCCCATTGTAGGGCTTCTCAAAGTGTGTAATGTACACACAGGCAACACAGCTTGAGCCTTTAGTAAACATAGTTTGTTAATAGCTGGTGGTCTCATTGCATGGTGTGATGTACGAGAGCTTGGTCTTACGTGGCACTGTTCTCTGGAGTGTGATGTTCTGCGTGAACCTCAGCTGGCCCGGGAACAGGAACAGAATCTGCACAAGGTTCTGGCCTGGTAGTAGCTGGTCAGTGGTATACTGAACCCACTTGCTGCTCCTGTAAGTGCATCCATACATGTTAACAGTTTTGTAAGTATGCAGCACAGCCCCACATACATGTAATATCGGAACACACAGACTATGACATTCATCTTCAAAATTTCAAAACACGTGTTCAAAGTCAGCTTCATATGCTGCTGAAGCCAAGCAGTTTGCTACTACTCAATCTAACCTCTGATCTCATCCAGTATATAGGGATTCCTACTGCAGGTATTCACGCAAGTGCGTGGGCACACTCAAGACCACAGTGGGTGTTTTAACAATCACTGAGGTCCATACATACTGTACACACTGAAAAAGCCTAACCAGTGAGCTGTAAACAACTCTACATCACTGATGGTACAGCTAAGCAAGTGGTGCATATTATGTGTTAGTGTAGAGGAAAAATTACGGAGTACTGAGACACTATTTTCCCCCCCTATTACCTTATAGGTATTGTAACAACATCAAAGCCAATAATTTCATCATCACAAATCCAATTTCAAACATCCCCATAACACCTCAATCTCTTGCCCTTGCTAGCTGGGAAACGGAGGTGGGTTCAGCCAACAGAGCCACCTCCCGGAAGTGATCATGACACACAAGCTATCGATCACACAGTCGACAAATATACACACGTACACCAGAACTGTGCAATGCCAGACTGTTGTTATAGGGTGCAATAGTAGAGTAATTGGACTATAGACCTAGGATTGCCTGAGGTATGTCCATCAGGAAACTTTGTGGCATTGATTCTTGGAGACTCTCTTAGAGATTAGTGCACCTCACAGAGACACTAGTCTCCAGCAGATCTAGGAGGAGTCATATTTGGTCTGCTTCCAGCCAATTGATGTGGACTATAGCTACCCTGCTGCCAATGGCTTCCAGCATCATATGATGCCACTCTCTGTTTGGAGTAGGGCCAAGCCTTGGGGGGAAGCTGGCCACCAACAGTACACCCCACAGCATGTACCAGTCATCAAATTAAATGTGAGTGGAATAAAAACCACATGAAAACAATTACTGTGTGGCCCTGGAGAGCAAGTGACGTCATCTGAGCAGCAGATGGCCAAACTTCAGCTCTTAGCCAAACTGTCTGCGTCGATTATTCCACTAAAGAAAAAGTTCCCAGGAAGTGGTCCAACCGGGGACTACTGTTCCTGACCCTATTAGCTGAATGGTTGTTTCTGAGCTCCCCAGTCGAGCCAAATACTTTCCCATCATGCTATACAGAACCTCCTTCAAAAGATTCAATGTCTGTATAACCTTTCTACAATATATTGTATATACCACCTTTCTGCTCTGACAAGCGATGATGTAACTCTACAGACGAGATATAATATATACATGAGAAAACTGCTTACCAACATTCTGACGGCCAGAGTTGATTCTATAGAGTATGATGGAGATGGGTGGACTTCCTGCTGTTGGGACACAGGTGAAGATGACTTCACTCTCAGTGGACCGAGGGAAACACCTCCCACCAGCCGAGGAAGTGGGCGTAGTAGGTGGGCTCATTGTGGCAGGTGTGGTGGGTGGAGCCGCAGTAGTAGGTGGAGTTCTAGTGGTGGGTGGAGCAGCAGTAGTGGGTGGAGCTGAGGTTGTAGGTGGAGTTTAGTGGTGGGTGAAGTCTGAGATGTGGGTGAGACAGCAGTAGTTGGACGTGTGGCTGATTCACAACGTGGTGAGTGATACAGATCTCAACCTCTTCTATACCTATTGGTGTTTTGTTTTATTGCTAAGCAATGATAATTCATAGTAAACAATCTCTATAAATATGTGCATACATGTAGGTGAAACTTATTACCCCGGAATTAGTATCTTTGAGATTCCACAAAGCAATTTCCCAACTTGTAGCTAACAAAGGCTCACCTTCTTCCTTCCCTGAAGGGGAAGTAGTGTAGGGAAGAGTGGCAAAGCCTCCAAGGAACTCTGCTCTGACACTGATCCTGAGAAGGTGATTTGGTCTCCCTCATCCCCACTTAGATCCACTGACACCACTAGACTTTCATTACTGCGATTGCAATGTTCAGAAAGAGGTGAATGGAAAGAGAGATCAACGATCTAAGAGATTTTAATAGGCACTCTGAACAAGGAAAGTGTGTTTGTAGATATTATATACATAATGTATATAGCTACATCAGTATAAAATTCTTTTATCCGAGTATACGTATTGTGTGAACTGGTGCTGCGTTTACTGCTTGCAGCTTATGCGCTATCAAGAGCTTGGTGCCCGAGTATTCCACACTCAGCCGGGTGGACACATGACCGACCAACTGTATGCTGATCTCCACTCGCGCACATATGACCAATGCTGGTGAGGGATAGGGTCCTTCGAATCAGAGTGCAGGAGACCACTCAGTATGGGATGGTTGGTGTTGCAGGTTGCCACATACGACACAGCCCACGTGACTCCCCACTGCAGCCACTGTAGGGCCTCTGTGGTGACAACTATATAATCCACGTGCAGCAGATATACTAGACTCCAGAGCTAAGCAACGGGTCGTTATTGAGCAACTCTCCACTACATGATCAGGATACAACTACAGCATATGCATCCCCATTTGCTGCTGCATATTAGAGCATTAAAACGATTGGTACCAGGTAGAGTTCTGAATACGAAACTACGTCTACTCCTCCGCTCAGAAAGGCAGAGGTCCGCTGAGCTTTAGACCGATGCGAGCTCAGCCATACCCTTGTGACTAGAAGAGGCGAAGCGGAGACGACTAGTTCTACCGAGCCCCATTTGGTCATGTGCACACTGGCTGCGTATTATTCGCGACCTGTTTGGAGCGCGCACGGGCGCCTGGCCGGGACGGTGGCGCAGGATTTGCGCATGCGCGCTGACGATTGACTGTTCATGAACTGACTAATGCGCATCGGAAAGAGATTAATTGGGAGGTTTATGGGAGAAGAAGCAACCCGGGCGGCCGAAGAAGCAACTCCTCAGGTTGGTCAGAAGAAGGATGGCTTGAGAGGAGGGAGGGAATGAGACCCCCGTGGGAAATGTACGGGCAGAGCCAGTGGGGCACGGGGAGAACGCCTACTTCACACTGAACGATAAACAGTACAAACAGTTCCCACTCCGTGTACTTATCGCTGTTGTCTCGGGGGGAAGGGAATGGACTTGCTACCGATAACCCTTTCGAGGGTTTTGTCTGTAGTTATTGATGGTCTCGGATATGTGGGTGGCTTGAAGAGCGGCGGTCCACAACACCCTCTCAGTCTCACAGGGGTTGGACGTGGAAGGTGTGGTGTCACAGATTCCCTCCCATGCCCAAACACCACGTAGCACACAGCTGCGCTAGCATGAACAGGCTCTGATAGTTGCTGGAGGGTCGTGGACAATATGCCTAACGCCGTGGAAGTTATGAATAGTGGCCACGAAGCAGTGGAGACCCAGTTGCTCCTCTCCGGAGAAGTGTTGGTTGTTGCCAACGCTGGTGTGGTGGGACATTCTCTATAGTGGGAGGAGGTCTGGGGACAACGCGTCAGCTTATTCAGTCTTTAGCTGCCCCTCTTACTGAGCTCCTCGCTTCGTGTAATACACTGGATCCAGAGTTCCGCGAGCACTTTGTGTCGAGTCGCAACGGTGGAGACAGTCAGCAGTTTAGCAGTGACAGACTCGACACTGGTCTCGTTCCGTGGTGATCGGCTGCTGGCGTGGGTGGAGTTGATCATTTGCTCAAAACTCGACTGCTGTTTTTCTACAGATATGACCCACACACTGACTCTTGGACTGTGGCTACTCAGATGAATGAGACAAGAACAAGAGATCATTACTGCTTTTGCTTTGTCAATCTTACACTGATGGCCCATCCTGGTGTTGTGTGGAGAGAGGTATTTTATAGCAGAGGCAATAAACTTCGTTCGAGAGAAAACCTTCAGAAGTTGAAATAAATTCTATTGCTGTGATTAATATATTCCGAAATGCTACTATCTACACTACGATATTCTTGCGTATTGTGATGCGCTGAACGATCATTGGGCCTATGGAGAGTCTAGAAGTATGCACCTTCAGATTTAAACTATAAATGCACTACAGTTGATGAAAGAGGTCGAGGTCAACAATTGTTCTAATTGCCTAAAAATAATAATCTAACTTTTGTTGTTAGGACTCTCTAGTTTATCTCCCTAATAATGTGATAAACAGCAGTTGGCACA